TGATTGTATCAGGGAGCGTCAATATGATGGCCCTTATTTGCTTGTCCTCAAGGACAAGGTTCAGCACGGTGATGCCAGAGATGTGACTATTGGTGATGATGGGGTATTGAGGATGCAGGGTCGGATCTGTGTACCCAATGTTAATAGACTTCACGAGTTGATTCTGGAGGAGGCCCACAGTTTGCGGTATTCCATTCATCCGGGTGCCGCGAAGATGTATCGGGATTTGAGGCCCAGCACTACTGGTGGAGGCGGATGAAGAAAGATATAGTTGGATTTGTAGCTCGGTGCCTTAACTATCAGCAGGTGAATATGAGCACCAGAGATCGGGTGCGTTGCTTCAACAGATAGAGATTCCGAAGTGGAAGTAGGAGCGGATCACCATGGACTTTGTAGTTGGGCTCCCACAGATTTTGAGAAAGTTCGATGCTATCTGGGTTATTGTGGATTGGTTGACCAAGTCCGCTCACTTCATTCATGTGTGTACTACTTATTATTCGGAATGGTTGGCGAAGATCTATATCCGGGATATTGTTCGTCCACATGGTATTCCCGTTTTCATCATTTCAGATAGAGGTACTCAGTTCACATCACGATTCTGGAGAGCCGTTCAGCATGAGTTGGGTACTCGGGTGGAGTTGAGTACAACATTTCACCCTCAGACGGACGGACAGTCGGAGCGCACTATTTATATTCTTGAGGATATGCTCTGTGCGTGTGTGATTGAGTTTAGAGGGTCTTGGGATCAGTTCTTTCCATTGGCGGAGTTTGCCTACAACAACAGCTATCAGTCCAGCATTCAGATGGAACCGAACGAGGCATTATATAGTAGGCAGTGTAGATCCCCGATGGGTTGGTTTGAGCCTGGTGAGGCCAGATTTTTGGGCACAGACTTGGTACAGGATGCTTTAGAGAAGGTTAAGGTGATTTAGGATAGACTCCGTATAGCCTAGTCCAGACAGAAGAGCTATGTGGACCAGAAGGTTCGTGATGTCTCCTATATGGTTGGAGAGGGGGTTCTGCTTCGGGTTTCACCTATGAAGGGCGTCATGAGATTTGGGAAGAAGGAGAAGTTGAGTCCGAGGTTTATTGGCCCATTTGAGGTATTGAGGCGTGTTGGGGAGGTTTCTTATGAGCTTGCATTACCTCCCAGCTTGGCAGGATTTCATCCGGTTTTTCATGTTTCGATGCTCCGGAGGTATCACGGTGATCTGCCGCACGTGTTGGATTTCAGTTCAGTCCAGTTGGACAAGGATCTATCCTATGTTGAGGAGCCAATGGCAATATTGGACATGCAGGTTAGAAAGTTGAGGTCAAAGAACATTGCATCAGTAAAGGTTCAGTGGCAGGGTCGGCCGGTCTAGGAGGCAACCTGGGAGACCGAGCAGGATATGCGCAGCCGTTATCCTCATCTTTTCACTACTTCAAGTATATCTCTATGCTCGTTCGGGGACGAACGAATATTTAAGTGTAGGAGGATGTGACAACCCGGTCGGCCGTCTTAAGAATTAACGCCCCGATCCCCTATTAACTGCTTTCCCCGTGTTTATTTCTGCCATTTTGATTTGCCGGGATGTTCGGTTTTGAGTTTTGGAGAGTTTTGGGACACATAGTCCCTAAATGAGAGCCTAAATATTGGAAAGTTGACCGTAGTCAGAACAGTGTGAAGATGGCCTCGGAATGAAATTCCAATGGTTCCATTAGCTCCGTTGGGTAATTTCGGGCTTAGGAGCGTGTTCGGATTGTGTTTTGGAGGTCCATAGCTAATTTAGGCTTGAAATGCCGAAAGGTTGAATTTTTAAATTTCCGGTTCGATAGTGAGATTCTAATTTGAGGGTCAGAATGGAATTCCGGAAGTTGGAGTAGCTCCGTAATGTTGAATGTGACATGTGTGCAAAATTTCATGTCATTCGGACGAGGTTTGATAGACTTTTTTTATCGAAATCGTATTTTTAGAGTTTTGGAATTTTAAGGCTTAAATCCGTGGTTGATTCTTCATTGCAATGTTGTTTTAGGTGTTTTAAGGATTTGTATAAGTTTGGACAGTGGTGTTAGACTTTTTGGTACCTTTAGTTGAGGTCCCGGGGGCCTCGGGATGATTTTGGATGGTTGACAGAAGGATTTTGGAGTTTTGAGTTGCAACTTCAGCTGGTTTTCTGTCATAACTGCACCTGCGAGTGTGGGGCCGCAGGTGCGGAGCTGTAAAAGCAGCATTTGGCATCACAGAAGCGGAAATGGGGAGGTTCAGCAGGAGCCACATAAGCGGTAAATTTTCGCAGGAGTGGTACCGCATCTGCGGATAGGGAGTCGCAGATGCGGAATCAGGCTGAGTTGGTGATTGTTGCAGATGCGACCATTGGTCCACAAAAGCGGGACTGCAGATGCAGTCCTAGGGCCACAGATGCAGAAATCGCTGGGCAGAAATATATAAATACTTGCCTTCGCAAAATTTAGCCATTTTTCACCTCTTTTCAAACGGGAAGAAGCTTGGGGAGCACTTTTCAAGAGGGATTTTTAGAGAAGTTCATTGGGTTAAGGTCTTTGAACCCTAAACTCATTATTGGAATGATTTTTATGAATTTAAGCATGAAAAATTAAGGAAAATCAGTGGTAAATTGGGGGTTAGGGCTTGACCAATTAGAGACTTTTGAGTGATGATTTGAGGGACCCTTTGAGGTCCGATTTTGGTACTTTTGGTATGACTGAACTCGTGAGAGTGTGAGGATTCTGGAAATATAAATTTTACCCGATTCTGAGATGTGGACTCGAGGGGCATTTTGGTCATTTTACCTAATTTCACGTATTAGCTTAGAATTTCTTTGTAGAATCAGTTACTTAAAGTGTTATTTACATTATGCAATTGAATTGAATAGATTTGATTTATTTGGAGTGGAGTACTCGTGGCAA